CTTCTTCCTCGGAGGACCCACGATCTGCTGGCCACTCCTCTCTGAGCCGCCGGCGTAAAACCTGAGAGAGAGCACGCAGCTCCTGCCAGCCCTGCCTGCTGGATCAGGGCTCTCTTGGTGCTTGGGCAGCTCAGTGAAAGCCCTGCATCTACAAACACTGACACACCACCAGTGTGTCGCCCACTGCAGCCTCCTGCAAGCTCCTGTGCTGCAAAGACTTTCTTTTTGTGTCAATTCCTGTAGATTACCCGTGGATCAACAGCAACAAAGTGGTAACAATGCTGAGACCTGGGGAGAGGAGCAGCCCAGAGGGACCAGCCCAGCTGTAAACACCAGTGCAGCTCCATTACCCAGCTGAGCAAGGCCTCCAGCAAATCTCTGACCTGCCAGGGCAACATCCATGGATTCTGAGGGAAGGCACACGTTCACGCCACACAAAGGGTGGATCTCAACTGGAAGCAATGGCTGCACAGTCAGTGAAGTGCAATTAAGCACTTCTGGAAGATTGGGTTTATTAGCTTCCAGATGGCTTGTAACACAGAGTGAGCCCAGCTGCCTGCAGACAGGGCCCATCCAGGCACAGCCACCCCTGCAGATACATCAGTTCCATCCCATTTACCTTGCCCGTCAGCCTTGAGGGTATTTAACTACTTAGAGCTGACACTGTAGGACACTGTCCTCCTAATACTCCATGTTCCCCTGGAAATAGGCCCTACATTTTTATTTCTGACTCCACACTCCATTACTTCACCCTTAAGCAACACCTAAAAACAAGAACCCAAAACCAAGACCCCAGCCAAAATAAACCCCCAAAACCCCAGCTGTAAGAAAACCAATCCCTGCATAATTCCCACATTTCCATTCCCTGTGGACCCAAATGAGGATCTGGGCTGTTTTCTATTCTTAACCCAGGCTTTCCACATCCCACTTGAGGCTTTCTCTCAGTGCTGAGAGCTGGTGCTACACAGCTGAGCACGTGCTTGTGCACAGGCTGTGCTCTGACAAACCTGCCCTGTCCAACCTCAAATGTTTCATGACAGGAACTTCACATCCATGTAAACCTGGCCTTCCCAAAGAAGCTGCAAGTCCTCCCAGAAGGGATAAACATTTGAGCCTTCAGCTGCAAACTCACCTCTGTCCCTCCTCCTCCTCATCATCCTCCTCCTGTGCATGCACCAGGTCTCTGAACGAGGTTACTCGGTGGTCACTGCAAAAACCCAGCAAAGGATGTCAGCCTCAGACACACTCCCTGCTGGAGCATCCCAGCTGCCACAGGCTCCTTCTGCAAGGTGGGCTCTGTTCAGCTGCTCCTGACCTGAGAACTCTTCCTTCATGGCAAAGGCAGCAGCTCCTCTTTGGGGCTGGACAGCATGCCCTCACAAAGGGACTTGGTAAGGTAAAATTCACTTTTTTGTTTTGTAAAATGCTCAGCTTGATCAGCTCAGGTGTCACAGAAACTGAGAAAATATTCTTCCTGCAGAGAAATGATCTGCTTAAATGGAAGGTCACTATCAGACTGTTTTAGTGTAAAAGATAAATGAAACTTTTCCTGAGCACTGAGGCAAGTTTTCCTCACTGACCCCTGGCTGGGCTGTGCAGCAACAGCCAGGCCTGTGATGTACAAACTCTCAGGTTTTCACCATTTCTGGAGAGCCACACAAGGTGAAGCAAACCTAACCACAGAGCTACTCCTCCTGAAAATGAACTCAGCCAGTGCTTTAGAGAGTGTGTGTGCTGTGCCAGCCTCCCAGTGTGGAGCTGAGGCTGCCTCCTCACCTGGCTCCAGTGCCTCTGGATATGGAGCTGGGGGTGGGCTGGGGAAGGGTCAGGATGTCCTCGTCACCCCCGTCCTCATAGAAACTGGCAAGTGCAATCTGGAAAGGAAAACCACCAAAGCTGCTCAGGAAAAAGGCACACAAAGCACCCAGCTGAAGCATCTGCCACGCTGGAGCTCCTGAGGCACCTCACCCTAAGGACACCTCCTGTCACTTCCCCTGCTGCAGCTCCTGGCAGAGGCCTCAGCAGGCTGTGCTGTTTGGCTGTGTCATGGCAGGACACTCGGTGCTGCAGGGGTGTCACCCTCCCTCTCAGGGCCCTTCTTCTGCAGCACTTACACGGGAGTTAGGCCAAAATTACTCCTCTGAAAGTGCAGCTTTTGTGCCACCATGAGCAGACTCGGAATTTAACACAGCCGGTGTGAGGAGGAGCAGGACAGGAGCAGGTCAGGATGGAGGCTGACTCGCCCTCAGTTTGTTTGCTGACAGCACCGACAGCCCCACCATCGTTCGAGTAAAACCTACACAACCCCGGCAAAGCCCGGGCCCACCGCCCTCGCCTCGCTCTTCAAAGTGAACGACAGAACCGGGAGGGGCCTCAGGCTCAGCCAGCCCACGGCCCCGCCGCCGGGGCTGAGCGCGGCGACGGACGGGGCGAGGCCCGAGCCTGCGGGACACCGAGCTCCGGCACGGCGCTGCCCCCGCCAGCGCCGCGGCCTCCGAGCCCGGCTCGCCGATCCCCGCAGCGGGCCGGGGAGCGCAGAGGGCAGCGGCGAAGGTACCTGGAGGTCCCAGCCGGCGGACTCGAGGAAGAAGCGCGCCCGCTCCTCCTCGGCGCCGGTCACGGCCACGAACTCCCTCAGCGCCTCCTCCCGCTCCGCCATCTTGCCGCGGTGCAGCGCCCAAACCGCGCCGGCCGCCCCGCCCCGCCCCCGCGTGCGCCGCCAAACCCGCCCGGCCGGAAACACCCGGCGTGACGCGCGGAGCCCGGACCGCACACAGCGGCCCCTGGCGGCCGGGAGGAGGCACCGCACCCGCCCGGCACCGGCACCGGGCACCGGGCACCGGGAACCGAGAACCGGGCACCGGGAACGGGGTACAGGGCACCGGGAACCGGGAACCGGGCACCGGGAACCGGGAACCGGGAACCGGGAACGGGGTACAGGGCACCGGGAACGGGGTACAGAGCACCGGGAACGGGGTACAGAGCACCGGGAACCGGGCACCGGGCACCGGGCACCGGGAACCGGGTACAGAGCACCGGGAACTGGGCACCAGGCACTGGGCACGGGGCACCGGCTATCGGGTAGCGAGCACCAGGCACCGGGAACTGGGCCCGCAGTACCGAGCACGGGGCACCGGGCAAGGGGAACCGAGCGCTTGGCTCCGGTATGGGCAGCACTGAGCACTAGAGCGGGCAGCACCGGGCACCGTGTGTGTAACACTGGGACGGGCAGCGCCGAGTCCCGGTGTGCAGCAGGAGCCCCGGTGTGCAGCACTGGGCCCCGGTGTGCAGCAGGAGCCCCGGTGTGCAGCAGGAGCCCCGGCGCAGGGCACTGAGGGCCCAGCGGGGCGGCGGCGCGGAGCAGCCCGGGCAGCCTCTGCTTGCTGGCTCCTTTATTGCAGGTTCACAAACCGCTGCGGGCAGTGGCCGAGCCCCGGGACCCGGCTGCGGGGGACTGAGGGGGAGCAGGGTAGAGCAACATCTCCGATGCTTTTCTCTTCATGCGCTGGAAGAGGAAGAGGAGGAGCCCACCGAGGAGCCCCTTCTCCAGCAGGACACCCATCCACAGCAGCAGGAGGAGGCTGGACGGAGGGTTTGCACCTGCAATGGGGACAGAGGATGTGAGTGACCAGGGCTTAAAGAGGCTCTGCTGCCCACAGGGAGCCCTGTCCTCCTCCCAGGGAGCCCAGCCCCACAGCAGCAGGACACCCCAGTGCGAGTCCCCAGCCCTCACCTCGCAGGACTCTGCTGAGCTCCCCATCCCTGCTGTCCCTGAGCAGAGCCCGCTGGCTGGTTCCCATCAGGAGCTGCTCCAGAGCCCCGCTCACCTTGCACAGACACCTCGGTGCCACTGCCACGCTGAAACAGCTCATTATCACCAGAGTCCCCCTTGACAAACTTCACACAGTAGTAGGTGCCCATGTCCTCAGGCTGAACGTTCCTGATGCGGATGGTGAAGTCTGTGTCAGACTCACCCACTGCTCTCGTCACACGGAACAAGGGATCCCACTGTTGCTGGTCATAGACAGTCTTGTTCCCAGTGCCCCAGCCCTTCAGCCACTTCACAGGGCCTGGTCCAGCAATTCCAGATGTGGTGCAGTTCAGGGTGAGCGTCTCCCCCGCTGCCACTGTCACCTTGGCCTGGGGCTGCTGCAGAGTGAAGCCCTGACCCGCCTGGGCATCCACACCTGGGCACAGAGACAGAAAGGTGTGGAATTGACAGTGGGCCCCAGGGCCGGGGAACAGCAGAAGGCATCATCAGAGCCCCTGAGCCTGGAGCAGGGGACAGAGAGATATTCCTGTCCCTTGTCCCCCAGGCTGCTGGGGACTGCAGGATGAGGAGAGCCCAGACTCTTTTTGGGTAAACTGAATTTCATCTGGAGATAAAAGCAAGCTGGAAGAGAGGGAGGAAGAGGAGATCCCTGGCTACCCATGGGCACAGGGAAGCACTGCCAGGCCAGCAGGGTGGGAAAGCGTGCATGGGAAATGTGATGGGGCTGTGCAGGCCCCACTTACCCGGCTCTCTGCAGAGCAGGAGCAGCACCAGGCACATGAGAGGCAGTTCCTGTGCCACCAGCACCATGGGTATTCCACGCCTTGCTCCCTGGTGGCAGGGCTCTGCTCGGCTGGATTCGGCTCCGTTGGACTCTGCTGCACTGGGCTCAGCTGGACTGGGCTTGTCCTAGCAGGGTGCTGGCCTCTTACCCAGCAAAGGGGAAGGAAAGGGGCCACCACCAGCCCAGTTCCTCCATGCAACCATGTCCCATTTGCTTCTCAATGCCTACATCATCTCCTGTCACAGCGCCGGTCCATAATGGCACTGTCCCCCCCAGCTTCCCCTCAGATGTGTGCCACGGGCACCGAGCAGCCAGCAGAGACCCCGGATCCAGCTCCCCCACTCACGGCCAGCCTGTGGCTCTGCAGCCTGGGGTGCCAAGGGGACCCCCAGCAGGATCCGTGCCAGCAGGATCAGGGTGGTGACTCCCACGGGCCGGTGGTGCAGAGCAGTGCCCGGGCTACACCGAGCATCCCACATCCCCAAGCCCCGCTGCTCCTCACCGAACCGGGAAGGACACAAAGCCTGTCCCGAGCTCCCTGTCCCGAGCCCAGGGCAGCCGCTCGGTGCCAGGGGGCCCGGGAGTGGTGCCCGCCGGGGTCTCGGCAGGGTGATGCCCACCGGGGGTGATGCCCACCGGGGGTGATGCCCGCCGGGGGTGATGCCCGCCGAGCATGATACCCCGGCGGCTCTGCCGGCTCCCGCCCGCCCCGGGCAGACACCAAAGCGTTAACCACCCGCTCGCCTCAATTTCCTGTCCCGCTTCCCCTTTTCCTTCCCAAAGTTTGGGCAGAACCCATGGCCGCGGCAGCAGCTGCGCTCCTGTCCGGGCAGCGAAGCCCCGTGCTCTCGGGTGAGTCGGAACCGGGGCCCCCAGAGCCTCTCGGAGCTCCCCTGCCCCGTCCGCCCCACAAACGCGAGTGGGCGGCAAAGATAAACACCGGGCGGGGCGGAGGGTGGTCCTTCCCCGAACGCATTTTGGGGTCAAACCGTGCCCGGGGTGGGCACTGCCCCGGGGTCGAACCCTGCCGAGCTGCTGCCATGCAGTCAGGGACTTGGGGCAGGAGAGGTTTGGGGATCGGAGGGGTTTGGGGGACTGAAGGGGTTTTGGGACACAAGATTTTGTGGGGTTATGCTGGGCTGCAGGGACATCCCTGCCTAGAACTCTGTTTCCTGGCTGGCTCCTGGCTGTGAGCCCCAATTCCTCGCAGAGCCCCAGTGATCCTGGCTGGTGTGGAGCAGAGCCAGGGTGTTAATGTTTAACAGCACTCAGGAGTTTTTCCTGCCAGGAGTTCCCCTTGGCTCCCTCTGCACCTCTCTGGCCTCCAGGCAGCTGCAGCACCTCCTGCAAATGACAGAACAGGATGCAGATTTATCAAAACATAGAATCGCAGAACTGTTTGGGTTGCAAAAGCTCTCTGAAATCCTCGTGTCCAACCCTTAACCCAGCACTGCCAAGGTCACCAAGTGCCACGTCTACATGTCATTTAAATCCCTCCAGGGGTGGTGACTCCGCCACTGCCCTGGGCAGCCTGCTCTTTTTTCAGATTTGTCCCTTGTTAATTTTGAACCAGTTTTTGAAGGGTTTCCTCCCTCCCAGTGCCTGCATGTTGTCTCTGCCACATCCCAGGATATCTCTCAGCTGGAAGTTGGGGGATACTGGGGCTTCTCTGCCTGTGAGGCTGCCCTTGCCTCGCCCCATTGCTCATCCCTGAACCCTCCTGTCTCTGTGCCCAGGTGTGGGTGCCCCATTGGGTCAGGGCTTCACTCTGCAGCAGCCCCAGGCCAAGGTGTCGGTGGCACTGGGGGAAACGCTCACCCTGAACTGCATCACGTCTGGAATTGCTGACCCAGGCCCTGTGAGGTGGCTGAAGGGCTGGGGCACTGGGAACAAGACTGTCTATGACCAGAATTATGAGGATCCCTTGTTCCGTGTGACGAGAGCAGTGGATGGGTCTGACACAGACTTCACCATCCGCATCAGCAACTTTCAGCCCGAAGATGCTGGCACCTATTACTGTGTGAAGTTTGTCAAGGGGGACTCTGGTGAGGATGAGGTGTTTAAGAGTGGCAGTGGCACTGAGGTGTCCGTGCATGGTGAGTGCAGCCCAGCAGGACCCCTCTCCCAGGGAGCCCATCCCGTAGCCCCCACCCTGCCCACAGCGAGGTGCTGCTCTGCCCCACACCCACCACCCTCTCCTGCTCTGCCTCTGTCTCCACAGAGGCTGCCCTGGTTCCTGGAATGGTGGCTGCAGCTGCAGTGCTCTGCTTCCTCCTCCTCCTCGGCCTCTTCGTCGCCCTTTGCACGTACAGGAGGAAGCGCCAAGGGGGGGTGGGCAGCCCCTGCCCCGCCAGGACAGTGGCCATGGGCAGCTTCTCGTCTGTCCCTCTGCAGTGCTGTGCAGGGACCCCCGGCACCCCCAGGTTTGTACTCAGCACCTCTTCCTTCTGCCCCCTTAAATGAGCAAACTGCCTTATCCACCTGCTTTATCTTGGCTTCCTTTCTTGTCTGGAGCTGTAACCTGCCCCAGAAAAGGTCCTTTACTCACAGGTGCACTGTTCTGTTGGTTTTTTCTGCGTTTCATGGAAACTTCATGGTAGGGAGCACCCAGTACCAGGGAGCTCCTGCAGCCCCTCACTGTGTGTCTGAGCCCAGCCCAGGTGTGCAGTCAGCACTTTGTCCCTGCTTGCTTTCAACAGGGGCATCCTGCTGAAATTCGGGAGGGGAATTGAGTGCTGTGCTGGGTGGGGAAAGGACCCAGCTTCCTGTAGTTCTGATGGCCATCTTTATCCTTCCCCCTGCAGTGAAGTCCTGGATGCAGAGAGCTCCCACCTGCCCAGCCAGGTAGGAGTGAGCTGAGAGTACGGGGAAGCACACCCCATGCTGATGCCCTGGCTTGCAGGAGCCCTGCAAGACTCTGGGGCCAGGGGGGACATCGGGTGGGCAGCAGCTGCCTGCATGTGGTCCCTGCATGCTCTGCACCATGGCACCACCTCTGCAGCTGTGGCATCACCAGCCTGCCTTGAGCCTGCTTCTTGGTGTTGTCCTGTGCAGGGCCATGAGCTGCTCTCGGTGATCCTTGTGGGTCACTTCCAACTCTCAACGTTCTGATTTAGGGTTATTTTGGGGGACTTTCCTTGTGGCAGCATTCCCCATTTGTGTGCATTTTTGCAGCAGAGCAGCAAGGAGGAGAACGACATCCACTACGCCGACCTGCAGCCGCTGCCGCCGGCCCCGCGGCGCGGCAGGAGCCCAGGCACAGCCCCCACCGAGTATGCCAGCCTCAGGGTCACTGCCAAGTGACGCCTGGCACGGCTGCCTGCACAGCCAGGCCGTGTCAGGGTGGCAGAAGGGACGTTTCTGCAGGGCACAACAAAGAAGAAGTGGAGCTGTTTGCGTGGTGCGTCCAGATCTCAGCTCGGCACGCTGTGGTCACCGTGTTTGCACCTCAGGGGAGCTCTCCCAGGACCTGGAAGCTTTGTCGACCACAGGATCAGACCACGAGGCCAAGCACCTCTGCCTTGTGCAAGCTGTTTTGTGCTGATAACAGCAGAAGGACCTCACACGCACCTGTGTGCACCAGCGTGGGCCTCCACTGGTCCTTTCCCGGCCCACAGGTCCGTAATTTGTGTTATCTTTTACCACCCTCATTAAAGCCAGCAAACAGCCTGCTGTGCAGTCCTGCTGTGCTCAGAGCAAGAGCAATAGTGCCAGTTCTGCAGGGTCCTGGGGAGATGTGTGCCACCCCTGTGCTACTGCTGAGCCCCCTGGTCAGCTCCCAACTCCCCAGGGAACCTGCCCAATCCCACAAAACCTGCATCTCCTGGCAAGGCAGCAGGAGGCTCTCAGGAACTGGTGCTGCTTCTCCAGCTGAGGCCCAGCCCTCACCCACCTTTTCCTGCCCTCCTCAAGGGGCTCCTGATGCTGTTAAGGCCAAGGCAGCTGGTGCATCTCCTGGCAAGGCAGCAGGAGGCTCTCAGGAACTGGTGCTGCTTCTCCAGCTGAGGCCCAGCCCTCACCCACCTTTCCCTGCCCTCCTCAAGGGGCTCCTGCTGCTAAGGCCAAGGCAGCTGGCACCAGTTGGCCCTTCTGCCCCTTCCCCTGGTCCGTGCAGATCTTCAGCTCCAGTCCCAGCCAGTCCATGCACCTCTGCCCCGTGCCCATCCCCTGCTCAGGGCACATCTGCCCTGTGCACATCCCCTGCTCAGTGCACATCTGCCCCGTGCACATCCCCTGCTCAGGGCACATCTGCCCCGTGCACATCCCCTGCCCCGTGCACATCCCCTGCTCAGTGCACATCTGCCCCGTGCACATCTCCTGCTCAGGGCACATCTGGCCCGTGCACATTCCCTGCTCAGAGCACATCTGCCCCGTGCACATCCCCTGCTCAGGGCACATCTGCCCTGTGCACATCCCCTGCTCAGAGCACATCTGCCCCGTGCACATCCCCTGCCCCATGCACATCCCCTGCTCAGGGCACATCTGCCCCGTGCACATCCCCTGCTTCATGCCCACGGGTTTGGTGCCCACCTCCAGGGGAAGCAGGCCAGTGGCAGGAAGCCGGAGGGCCGAGGTGGCCGTGGCAGGAAGCTGCAGGTCACGCTCCACACTGGGCACTGCTGCAGCCCCCAGACACAGCCAGTCACCACGTAGAGCCCCCAGCCACGATCTCCCCAGCTGTGGCAGCTGGGCTCCCACCAGGTGTGGCCCCAGCAGCCACCTTGGCAGGAGGAACTGAGCCAAACAGGCTTTCCAGGCAGAGGAACCTGCTACCAGCACCGCTGCCCGTGACCTTGAAAGCTGATACAGTCGCCAGCTTTCAGCTTTATCTACTTTTTTTCTGTGAAATGAGAAAAGAGAAGTGAAACAAGACAGGGTGACCCGGGGGAGCGGGGCTGGCAGGGAGATCCTTGAGGGGACAAAATTGTCACTGTGGGGAGAAAAGCCGCTACGGAAATTGATTTGCACGACTGAATGTGAGTCACCTGCTCTGGGGATGTGAAGTGGGGACAGTTTGGAGTCAGTCCTTTCTCAGAGACAGCTTGGGGACACTCAGCACCCTGTGGGCACGGTGGTGGTGATGAGTTTGCCAGGTCAGGGATCCAGCACTGGTCTCAGCCCGGCCCCCTCAGAAGGAGGGTTGGGGTGTTGGGATGAAGCCTCTCCCAGCATTGTTTCCCAGTGGAGCCATGACCAGGCCGTGGGTCATTCCCCAGCTGGGGCAGTGGCTGCTCTGAGCAGGGTTGGGTTGCCCTGGCTCTGTGCAGGGACAACACCAAAACTGGCAGAAATCTCACATCAAGGCTGTGAACACGAGTATGTAAAATACGTGGGTGAGACCGAAACCGGGGACAGACCTCGAGGACCAGAGGAAATGAAATTCAAGGGGATTTAGGGCTTTTTAAGCACTGAATCAGGAGGGGGAAATCCAGTTCGATAGGAGCATATGCAAAGCAGGGAGTGAGCAGAGCACAGGCAGAATGCTCTGCACCTAGGGAAGGGCCCAGGTCTGCGGCTTACTGCCCAGGGGAGGGATTTGGTGGTTATTAAAGGAAAATCCTTTAAGCCTTCAGCCTGGGGTGTGCCGGCAGTGAAAGCACAAACAAGCGCCTGGGCACGGACACAAGGTAGGGGCGTGCTGGGGAGCAGAGCCTGGATCAGGGGGCAGGGGGGCAGCACCAGGCAATGCTGGGGTCACACATTCACTGCTCATCCCTGCTGCTTTCCTGGGGCTGCTGGTTGTCACATCCACTGAGTGACCTGCCTGGTGGGAGGGTGTGTGTGGGAGGCCGGAGCTGCCATTGCTGGGGGGAGGCACAAGGCAGTGCTGGGGTTAGGCTGGCACACTCCAGGCTCCTGCTGCCACAGCTGGGGACTTCAGTGCAGAGCAGAGGTGGTGCCTGGATGGGCACTGGGACACTGTTGGTGTCCCAGGGCAGAGGACACGCTGGCTTCAAGCAGGCTTTGGGCTGTGTCCCTGTGCATGGACACTCTGGGGCGGTGCCATGCCAGGTTTGCCTTGGCTGCTCCTCAGCATGGTGTGTGAGCCTGGTGCCAGGGCCTCATGCAATGGCAAGGCCAAGGAAAAGGGCTGGGGAGGCTGGTCTGGGCTGCACTGCGATGGGAGTCTGGGCAGCCAGGGGATGCTCAGGGGCTGCTCTGGCATCTGACCCACTCCTGATGCCAGGGGGTGGGAAACATCTCCGGGAGGTGCCAAGGGCTGGCAGGGCTTGCCAGGCAGTGGTGTGTGCCACGGTGTGTGCCATGGTGTGAGCCCTGGTGTGTGCTGTAGTGTGTGCTATACTGTGTGCCGTGGTGTGTGCTGCGCTCTGGTGTGTGCCATGCTGTGTGCCACGCTGTGTGCCATGCTGTGTGCCACAGTCTGCACCACGCTGTGCTGTTCCGTGCTGTGCCGGGGATGCAGTGGGAAGCGAGGGCTGTGCAGGGGCCGAGGGGAGCAGGAGCCTCCCCAGACATCCCGGAGCGATTGCCCGGAGAGCGGCGCTGGGAGGGGCTGGCCCGGCAGCGAGGGGAGGGGGCCGTGCTTCGATAACGCCCGGGAGGAGCGGGGTGCCAGTGCGGGCTGCTGAAAGGGGGTGCGGGGTCTCCTCTGTGTCCCGGGGACAGCACAGGGCTGGCGGCACCCGCGGGGAACGGGACAGTGCTGAGCTGTGCCCATGCCAGGGCTGGGCAAGGAGAAGAAGGGACAGACAGGGATAAATGCCCCGTGCCCTGCCCTGGGGTGCTCTGGCTCAGCGATGACAAGCAGAGGCACCCCACAGTGGCAGTGTCTGTCACAGGGGTGGGTGCCAGGGGATATTGTGTCTCCAGGAGCAGGCATTGCTCCAGCTGGTCTCCTCCAGGGTCTGACAGGGCAGCAGCACCAGCCAAGGGCCTGGTTTGTGGCTGTCTCTACCCAAGACACCTTTGTGCCCCTGCTCTGTCCCCATCCCTGCCCCCAACCCTGCCCTAGCTGCCATCAGACCGTGGTGCCCACAAGTCACCAGGGAGAGACAGGCCAGTCCCTTTGCACGTCAGCACCACCCAAACAGAACAGGCCTGAGAGCATCTGATGCCACAGGGACCCCACAGAGCCCTCATGATGCCACAGGCATCCAGTGATGATTTGGGGACCCCATGAGACCAAGGGGACCAGGCAAAGCCACGGGGACATTGTGCCAGCAGGACGCAGCAGGAGAAGCTGGAGGAGCAGCTGGGAGCTTTGAGGGGGTTGGAGGGAGTGAGAGGGTCTTGGTGACACTTTGATTGTCCCCAAAAATGCCTCATGGGTCCTGTTTGTGCCTGCTGGCTGGCCTGGGCCAGGTCCCTGCCAGAAGAGACAACAGGAGGGAGAAGTCCTGGGATGCTGCACAGTTGGAATCTGCTCCCTCCAGTTCCAAATCTGTTAGCTCACCCCTTTGCAGCTCCGTGTTTCTCAGGCTTTTCCTTGGACAGGAACGAAGCCAGAGTAGAACAGTGACATGCTTTACACTGGTTCTGATTTATTTCAGGTCTTACTATTGAATCTTATTCCCTGTTTTTACGGTTGTTGTGGATTTTCACCAAAGGGGATAAACAGGTCTGGGGTTTGGGGTTGTCATAGGAACAGTTTCTGTGTCACAGCCTCACTGCCAGCCTTGTCCCCTCCTGATAGAGCGAGGGCTCTGCCCAGCACAGGGGGTCTCTCCAGCCCCCCAGGCACAGCCCCAGTGACAGCTGGGGTACAGGGCAGCCACCCCATGGCACTGGGTCACTCGGGATGTTCAGGGAGGAGATGGGCTCCCAGGCACTGCCCACTAAGCAAACTGGGACCCCCAGGCTGCAGAGCAGGGCTTTTAGTTGGGAAGAGCTGAAGGTGTTTGAGGATGCTGCTTTTCTCTGTGTCCAGCAGGAGGTTGTGCTATTGCAGTTATTGCTGCTGGGAACCTCTCTGGCCAACCTGGAATAATTTTCATTAAATCCCTGGAGCTGAAGGGGTGTGGAGTGGATGTGGGGCTGCCCTAGGACCATTCCTCATCTCTTCAACCACAAGGGAGGGGGTAAGCAGTGAAATTGAAAAGTGTCACGCACATCCTTTGTGCCCAGCACTGCTCTGGCCCGTGCTGTCCCACACTGCAGCACACCGTGAGGCCAAGGCTCTGGCAGTGATTAAAGAGGGGTTTCAGGGCCATGGGACAAGCAGGAACATCCAGCGCTTAAGAAAGACTCACATTGTGCTTTCAGAGTTGGACGGGACACTGCTCAAAGACAATCACCCTGGAGCCGGGGAGGGCAGCTCAAGCTGCAGTGCCTGCCAGTGCCCGAGTGAGGGTCCCAGAGCGGCTGGGAGAGGGGCCCTGCCTGCACTGGAGCTCCGGGGCTCTTCCTGCTGGATCTTGGTGTGCTCCTGGTCCTCCCACCATCCCCATGTAGATTGCAGAGCCTGAAGTGAGCCGTGGGGATGCTCCAGGTGGTTTTATGCAGCGAGAAGAGCTCAGGGTAGGGAAAATCCTTAGGGAGGTCCCTGTCCCGAGGGCAGGATGTTGTGGGGTCCCTGGTGCTCCCTGCTCCTTAAAGCACGGCTGTGCTTGGCCGTGGCCCCCGCGCTGGCTGCCCCGAGCCCGGCACAAAAGTGTCCCTCTGCAGAGGAGTGCAGGGAAAGGGAAAAATATTGAGCGAGGCAGGAGAAGGGGGAAAGCAGGCGCTGCGGGAGGGAGCACAGCACGGCCTGAAAGCTCCCTCTCAGCGGGCTTTTGTTCGCCCTGGACGTGCCCAGCGGCGCTGCCAGCCCGGAGGGGCTGTGCTGGCGCCGGTGGCTCCCGGCGATCCCGGAGCCCCGCAGCCTGCCCGGCGCCTCGCTGCAGCGACGTGCCCGGGGCAGGATGCAGCTGCCCGCATCACCCCATCACCCCCGCGGGACCCCCGTCACCCGCTGGGCTCGGACCCACAAGGCGCTCCCGAAAATAATTCCTCCTGACAGATCCGTTCCTTCCACATGGTTCGGGCTTAATTTTATAATGGTATCAGTAGCTATGGCAACGTGTAAAAATAACGGATCCCCGAGCCCGGCGAATTCTCCGTAAACAGCTCCCGTCTCCCGGAGCCCGGCTGGGTGGGCATCACCCCTTGCCCACGGCCGCCGCGCTTTGTGGCTGGCATTCACGCCATGCCTAATTAGCAGCGTTAACTGCTTACGCCTTGGGATGATGATTCCATCCGCTAATCCTTGGGGCTAGGCTGGGCTAATTGGGTGGATATCATTAACGCTGGCGGTCAGGAGCTGCCCTTACGGGATTGCAGCACAGCCAAGGCTGCAGCACCCCTCTGGCACCCCAGACCCAGCGCGGGGCTGGCAGCCACGGAGGGTCGGACACGACTCAGCCCCCGCCGTGCCGGGGGCCACCAGCCCCATTCACAGCTCCAGCTCGCCCCAGAGCCGCCGCTGCTGCACATCCACGCGTGTGCACACGAGGGAACACGAACAGATCAGATTTCAGCACACGGGACCCCCCTCAGCAAAGATCAGCCGCGGCTCAGAGGTCTCTGGTCACGCCGCGAGTGGATAATCCCAGGCAATATTTTCTAAACCTGTTAGACAGCACACAGACCCTCTAAATCCCTGATCCCCCTCCAAGGCTCCAGCGGGATGGCAGCACTTGGCAGCTCGGATTTGCAGCTTCTTATCAGAGCCAGCCCCTTGGAGCGATGCAGTCACTGGGAGCGTGGTGGATCCTGCCGACCAGAAATAATCCTCCAGAACTTTGCTGCCTTTCAATTAAAAAAAAAAAAAAATGAAGAAGAAAAAAAGAAAGGACAGACCAACAGAAACCTAAAAAAAAAAAAGAAGAAGAAAAAAAAAAAAAAGGACAGACCAACAGAAACCCCACAGAGAAGCATTTTTCTCCACCCAGCCTCCAGCAGCAGGGCCAGAATAATCCCAGCCCCACAGAGATGAGAGCGTTGAGTCTCAACAGGGCCAAAATAAAGAGCCAACAGGTCCAGAATGTGGCTGCTGAGCCTTGGGGCTGCTATGGGGGCAACATGGGGACAGTGACACAGGGAGAGCCTGGCAGGAGGGCTGGGGATGGCCCTGAGGGCTGGTCAGCATCCTCTTCCAAGGGCTGGCTGTTTCAGGGGTGCAGCCCCCCTGCATCCCAGCAGTTGTGCCATTCCCACCGTGGGACATTGGATCCAGCACTTTCACAAATGACCCATGAAGCCCCCACTGCTGGACACACCACCTTCCTTTGCAGTAAAGAGTGACACGGGGTCCTGCCAGGTCCCCTGCCCCTGCCGTGCCGTGTCTCAGCCCTCCACGGGGCATCCCTCGGGCCATGCCCACACGCCAGGTTCCACAGCACAAATCCCACCTCTGAGCCTGGATTTCAGCACTTCACAGCAAGGGCTCTGCCAAGCAGGAAGCAATGGGCTGAGCTGGCTGAACACGATCAATCCCCCACGTTAGCAGTTTTATTTCCAGCCGCAGCTGCCGCAGGACGCTCAGGCGGAGCAGCCTCGGTGAGCTCCAGCCGCCGGCCGGCAGCACAGCACAGTTATCTGCTGCTGCAGCCTCGGATGAGCTTTCACGATAACGATTTGCAATCAACAAAGAACTTGGAGAGGATGCAGAAAAAAACCCCCAACAGCTGGCATTAGAAACTGAGATGGTATCGCTCTTCCCTCGGCCGAGCTCCACCGCGGTCCTGGTGGTTCCACCAAGGGGAGATCAAGGTCCTCTCCAGCATTGCCCCGTGGGGCTGGCTGCGTGCTGGGGGATCTGGGTGTTGGCACTGCCATCACATCCCCAGGAGCCAGCACAATGCACAACTTCCCCCTCCAGAGCGGGGAGGGAGGCTTTAGTTCAAACAGCCCATCAATGATTAACACCCGGCTCTGAAATGTCCCTGCATGGCTGGAGCGCTCTGCCTGCACCCTGCCTGCCCTCCCCCCTGTCCCTGCCGCTTCCTCCTCCACAGAACTCCTGCTCCTGGGTTGGGGCAGGGTCCCAGGGTGGGCACCAAGGCTCCCTGTGGCTCTGGAGCCCATCAGAGCTGTGGTGAGCCCAGTCGTGCCCCACACAGACAGCACAGACCTCCCCCAGTTTCACAACCACTGGCACTAAGGGGGCAGGACTGGGACCACCCTGTGACCCTGCTGAGCTGCCCCGAGCAGGGTCTCTCTTGTGCCCTGTCCCTGTCACCAGTTAAGGTTGGAACAGCCCCCTAAGACCATTGAGTCCAGCCATTCCCCCACACTGCCAAGCCCCCCATGCCCCAGGTGCCACATCCACGTTTTTTGAACACTTCCAGGGATGGTCACTGCAGCCCTTCCTGTGCAGCCTAGTCCCGGGGCTGTGCACGTGTTGCAGACCCACAGCAGAGAGCAAAGCCTTCTCTGGGGCAAGGGGCAGGATCCTGTTTGCCAGCAAAGGTCAGCACAGCCCTGCCAGCTCGCAGCACCTCAGCGGGCACAGGCGCCAGCGCTGCCAGCCCTGTCCTTCCCAGCCCACACTGCCACTGTGTTTTCCCAGCCTGTCAGCAGTTTTACCCTAAAACCCCTCACTTCAGGTCAGCCAGGGCCGTTTCCAGGCCAGGCACAGGATATAAACCACCTTTCCTGCTCTGACACAGCGTGAGGAATTCCCCCAGAGTGTGAGCGTGGCTGCATTAAGGAAGCCCGGCCAATTCACCGGGTCTGCAGCACCCCCAGGGCACCACTGCACACCCAGGGCACCCCCAGGGCACCACTGCCGGGTGCCAGCAGCCTGGGAGCACGGCCCGGCCCCGGGATGGCTCAGCTGCCCTGTGGATACAGTCCCTGCTGCAGCCTGTGCATTTCCCTTCTTGCTGGGTAGGTGGTGGATGTTCTGGTGGTCTGACACCACTGCCACTGCTGAAGCCCAGGGTGACAGAGTGTGAGTGCCACGAGGCACCCAGAGCATCCCTCCAACCCAGCAAAGCCCAGCTGGGCAGGCAGAGCTGTATCCCTGCCCCATCCTCCCTGAAAGCCATTTCAGAGCCAGCTGATCCTGGCAGTGCTGGGGATTAATTCAGCAGCAGAGGGACACTAAAATTAAGTGGGCTGTGATTTGAAGCCCCGCTCCCTAAGGAGGGGGCAGGAACAGGGGGTCTGGGCAGTGTGCACAGAGGGGCCTCCTCAGAAAATGCCCCATGCCAGGGAGCATCTCACCTCCACCCACTCATCCCCCTCACCAACTGCACCCCAGAGCCATAACAAACACCTGAGAGCTGAAATAACTCAGCTGTAACTCCTAAATCTCCCAATAAAAGCTTGGCTAAACAATTACAGTAATTCCCATGAGCCCCCTCATGGGGTGAGGAGCAACCCTATGCACAGGCTGCTCACAGTGCACCCATCCACAGCCCAGCCCAGCCCAGCCCACCCTTCCCCTGGCAATCACAGCCTTAACGAGACCCCTGCAGCTCATCACCCTCTCTAGGGTCTCTCCCATATAAGGGGGAGATGTGGTGCATCCCCTTCCCCAGTGCAGGTGTTTATGGTGGTGGATGTTATGACAGGAATATGAGGAGACAGGTAGGCTACATACCCCAGCTTCTTAAATCTACTTTCAGAGGGCTGGGGTGCCCCTTCCCTGGGTCACAGTCCATGAAAGCCATGCCCACATTAACATATTGCTTGTTATAAGTTAACATGAGATAAACTAATTTAAGCTTCCCCTGTACTGCATGTCTCGGATTAAATTGGCAAGGTACCTAATGAAGCTGCAGCTCCATTTGTTGAGCTGGAAGCCCTAAATATCAGCAGTGTAATTGGTGCTCCCTGCTTCAGGAGACATTTGTGTTTCTCTCCCAGCTGAGAGCCCTCTCTGGGTGCTGACTGAAGCCTGAGGGGTGGGGGGAGGCTGTAGGATGTATCCAACGGGATCTTGAGCTGGAGGGGTCTTGGAATTTGTTTTTAAAGATGGATGGGGAGAACATGAAGGTGTATGGAGGCTGCACTGGCTTGTGGGTGCCAGAACAGACCTTGTGTGGGCCTGGTGCTCTGATGTGGTCCCACAGGGTGTTTTATTGTGGTGAGCTGTGAAAGTAGCACCTCTCGGGGGGCTGGGCTGGGAGGTGTTGGTGGCTGGGACTGGGCCAGGATGGCTTTGAGTTTCCCCAGGGTGGTGAGTCCCTGAGGCACTGTGATTTTTGGTTTATCAAGGAATCTTTGAGGCTGGAAAAGACCTTTAGGATCATTGAGTCATTATTGTGGAGTGCTCCCATAAGTGCTGGCTGCTTGCTGGTGCTTGGGCATGGCTCTGTGCCCACAGCCCCAAAAGAGCACCTCTGGATGCTGAATTTGGGGTATTTTCAGGCTGATGTCCAAACTTGGTGGGTTTTTTTTGTATCCCTAAGCTAGTTTGGATTTTGAAGGGTGGACTGAGTGTCTTGGGACAGCTGCTGTGCCCAGGTGTGAGGTGCCCACTCAGGCTATTGGTACTTTGCCCACTGTGCCATCCCATTGCTGGAGAGGGGACCAGGAGGGACCAAGTCCCAGGCAGAGAAAGACTGCAGTCACCTCCCTCAGTGAGATGGGATTCGTTAGCAGGCCCAGGACTGGCCCTGCAGGGCACAGACTGGAACCTCTCCCAGCTCCATCCCTGTGAATCCCCTCCAGCCAGGGGAGCCTCCGCTGCTCCCGGGGGCAGTCAGGGCTGGGAGAGGATCAGACAGGCAGCTGATTAAGGCATGAAAGAGCAGTCTGGGCAAAACCAGTGCTGCAGGACTTTCCACTGGGATCGCTCAGGCACGGCTCTAATTGTTCCCACTGGATGCTGCCAGGCTCTGACAAGAGATGGGGTGCTGCTGCTCTGGCTGGGGGTCCCTGTGTGTGGATGGGTCCCCCACCTTCTCCCAGGGAGGGAGCAGATCCTGCAGAGCTGCCCAGCTGGGGACAAGGGAATGCAAAAAGGACATTGAGCCTGTGGTGCTGGCTGGGAATAGGGAAGGGGAGCAGACCCCTGCCACACAGAGCCCGTGCCTTCCCCAAACAGCGTGATGTGAGTTCCTCACTGCGCCTCAAAGCTGTGAAAACCAACTTGTTATTGAAGAGCTTTCCAGAAACACTGCCCTGTCCCCATGCTGGCTGCTGCCCAGCTCGTGGGGCCAGGGAGAGCCGAGCTCTGGAATCCTCCCTGCCAGAGCAGGGCTTTTGAGCTGAGGCATGGAGATGCTGCAGAGCGAGCGCAGCCTGGGTGCCCGCTGGCAGCACAGAGAGCCTGGCAGCACTGCCCGCCCTGCCAAGCACTGCTGCAGCCTCCTGCTCACCGTGGGTGTTCTGCACAGAAGGATGATGATGATGATGGCAGAGTTGCACTCCCAAATTTTGCGTTGTCCCTCTGTCTCAGGCGCACAAGGAGCCAAATGCTCCTCTCCCCCTGGTTCCCTGCCCAGAGCAGGGCAAGGGCTGCCCTGCCAGGGTGAATCCTCCAAACCTCTCGTGTTGGAGCAGGGCCCCTGTGATGCTGAAGGGCCATGGGTAGGAGGGGAGGCAGCTGAGCCTGCCCATATGCTTCCTAATGGGGAGCAATAGCAGCTCTTCCCGGGAAGCTCGCGCCGCACCATCTGCTCTGCGCGGTACCTTCTCCTGCAGAGCTTTTTTTGAGCTCTAACTTCCCTTCCCCAGTGCTCTGCCGTGGCTGCTGCTTGTGTGCGGGCTGGCTCTGCTCTGTAATCGCCTCAGAACAGGTTGTCTGAACCTTCAACACCGAGCAGAACACCCCAGACAGGCTGAAGCCAGCCAGGCCTCCAGGATCTGTGCTTCCACGTAAAAATAACCAGGATAGGTGGCTGTGAATGGCTGCAGTGTGTCCCTGGCATTTGCCCTCCTGCTGGGCACCCACTGGCCCCGAGGGTCTCTGCTCCTGGACCTGGGCTGGGTGGGATGCACTGCCCATGGTGGTGCAGCTGCAGGGTTTCCACAAACCACTGCTAATCCCGTGGAATATCCAGAGCTGACAGTGACCCACAAGGATCATTGAGTCCAGCTCCTGTCCTGGCACAGAACACCCCAAGAATCGCACCCCGCGGGGGGACAAGAGCATTGTCCAAATGATTTTTGAGCTCTGGCAGGCTTGGGGCTGTGACCAGTGCCCTGGGGATCCTGTTCCAGCACCCAAACACCCTCTTGTAGAATAACCTTTTCCTAATACCAACCTCAAACTTCCCTGACAGAGCTTCATGCAGTTCCCTCGAGTCTTATCGCTGGTCACCAGAGAGCAGAGCTCAGCACCTTTGCTTCCTCCTGTGAGGTGCCTGTGGACTCTCATAGTGATGTGTCCCTGTGTCCCATCCCTGTGGAAAGAAATTATTGCTGTGTGCAAAAGGCCAAATCCAAGGGCTCCTCTGGACCCCTGCTCCTCGCTGGCCCCTCTGGCCAGCTCTGTGAAGGGAAGTGATGGCTGTACTGAGCTTTCCAGGACCAGTGCTGCTGGCCACAAAGTTTTTCCAGTGGGAGCAGTACTGGCCACAACCTTTGAGCCTCCAGCTGCCAGGGGATTGCAGAGGGAGGTGGGTGCAGGAGCCTGGGAAGCTGTTCCTGGTGCCAGCAGTGCTAAATTAAGGCTGGATGTGCCCCATGGGCGTAGCTGGGGCTGAGGGGGAGGCTGGCGGGGCCGGGGATGCGCGGGCGGACGCCGTGCGCAGATTGATGGTGCCAAGTCACTTCAGATATCTCGGCTGTGTTTGTGCGAGGCTCTAAATAAAACCGACAGCCCTGGCGGCTGCCTGGGGAGGGAGGGGAGGAGGGGGAGCTGGCAGCGGGTCCTCCAGTATGGCACCCAGGGCTGTCCTCGGGGACCCGGCCCAGTGTGGGATCCGTGCTGCAGTGATGCTGGGTGGGTGGGAGCTGCTGCTCTGCAGTGCCCACCCCATCCCTGGGAGGGCAGAGGGGACAGTGGGGTGGTGCTAGGGAGCTGCCAGCACTGCACCTGGCATCGCAGGTACCTGGCCCGGCCTGGCTGAAGTGCCCCTGGGCTGTGCGAGAAGCTGTGACAGGTGCAGGCAGTGGAGAATGTGTCCTTGCGAATCCCCTGGGAAGGGCTTTGTGTCAGGGAGAAGGAGGGCGGCGCAGGGACACGAATCCCATGGATGCTGACGCCCCGACCCCCTCTTCCTCAGCCCTGCCTACCATTACAGCTCCTTGTCCTCAGACTCTCGCTTCTCCCTGCTGCAGGCTCCCGCGGAGGGGACATCACGGGGATGTCCCCATTATCCCAGCGTGCTGCGCAGGAATTTCCTCTCCCTCCCCATCCACCCTGTGCCCGGCTGTGCTGCGCCAGTGTCCCCTCCTGGCCCTGAGCCCCGTGTGCCAAGCTGACCTGTCCCTGTGGCACCGGCAGAACACCACCCGTGCCTCTGCCGCGGCTTCACAGCTGCGTGATCCCTGGGGAGGGCACTTGGGACCCCAGGGCCGTGTGCTGTGTGTGCCTGTGCCCCCGGCTGGTCCCGGGTGTTCAGGACCCGAAGGCTGGACCCCCCGCACCCCAATCCCAGCTCGGGCACGCAGGGCTGTGTGTTGTGCCGAAGGGCTGCCTGCACCGGCAGCCGCGGCGAGCGAGGGGACCCCCAGCCGCCATCCCTGGGCCATGGAGCCGCCTCCCTCTGCCCCGGCCGACACGGACCGGGCACGGCGGGGCTCCTGGCGGCGCTCCCGGGGGTCCCCTCCCAGCCCACCTTAAGGCAGCCGCACACCGGGCTGACCGGCGGACTCTGCCCCGGGGCGGGCGGGGCTGGCTTCGCCCCCGCTAACGGGGGGAGCGGCGCTGAACCGGGGCTGCTGGGAGCCGGAGGGGGTCTGGAAGCCGGGGCCGGCTCCGTCCCTCCCCGGTACCACGGCAACGGAGGCGGCGCGGCGGCGGGGGGGAGGCGGCTCCGCGCGGCACCCCGCCGCGGCCCCGACAGCGGCCCCGAGCCCGCTCCGGTGCCCACGGGCGGCGGCGGGGCCGCGGGTCCGTGTCGGTGCGTGCGTGTGCGCTGCCCGCCCGCCGCGGGGGGAGAAAGGGGGGAGCCCGGCCTCCTTCCTCATTTTGGGGCTGAGACCAGCGATTTCCTTCGCCAGCTGCAGTTCTGCGCTTCTTGCTGCCTTTTTTTTTTTTTTTTTTTTTTTAATTTGTCTTATTTATCAAACGCAGCCGCCGAGCCGGGCTCGGGGCCGCGCTGTGAAGCCGCGGGCTCCGCTCCCCGCACCGATGGAGCCGCATCCCCGGGATCCCGGCCGCACCGCCTGGGCATTGCCGTGCCTGCTGCTGCTCGCCCTGCCCGGTAAGCCACGGCTTCTGCCTGCTTTCCTGCTCCTTTCCTTCCCCTATTCCCCCTTTCCCTCCCACCCTGCTGCCCTGCTCTGCCCTCCCCTTTCTCACGCTGCTCCTCTCCTCTTGCTCTGTTTTCCCCCTTTTTTTCCACCCTGTCCTGTTTTCCACCTTTCCCTCTCACACAGCTCCTCTCCCTGCTCTGCCCTGTTTCGCCCCTTTTCCCGCCCTGCTCCTCTCCCCTGCCCTGTCCCCCCCTCGTCTCCCTGCCCTGTTCCCGTTTTCCCCGATCCTCTCCCCGCTCCCGCACCCCTCCGGTACCGACATGACGCCGCCTCTCCGCGCACGGTTGCTTTGACCTTTGCTGCGGTGACCTAGAGAGCGGCGGTGGCCGAGGGGCTCCCGCGGGGCCCTTGCCCGGCCGTTCTTCCCGAACCGAACTTGCAGGCAGGCAGGCAGACGTGCCCTTTCCCAGCGAGGCAGGGAATTCGGCGGGGGCATGAAGAGGCATGCTGTTCCCACCCATTTGCGAGCACCCCCTGCCAGCTATGGGTGAGGCAAAACTCAGCCGGCAGCCCGAATTCCCACTTGGAGGTGGCAGCGGAGGAGGCATGGGGAGGCTTTGGTGAGGGCTGCCTGTCTTCTCTGCCAAGAACTTGTTTTTCTTGCTGCCCTCCTGCTTTGCCCCACTGTGGGCTCTCTCTCTACTCAACCGTTGGGCACTGGAGCGGTGGAATTGCAACACCTCTAGGCACCCTGTGTTGTGTAGTCCTGTGTCGCCTCAGGCTCAGGGTGCCCCAGACCTCCCACGGGCTCATGGCTCCACCAGTCCTTTATAAAAGCTGGGGGACACAGCAAAGGACCAGTCAAAGCGTGCCACTCTTGGCTGTTTCCCTTGCCGGCAGCGGGAAGTCTCTCATCCCACCAGGAACGAAGCCCTGTGGTGACTGCTGCTTTCAAGGATGTTTCCTTTTTAGGGTGTTTCGTTTTGGGTGGTTTCGAAGGAATCGCTCTCCCTGCCAAGGGAGGGACGGGGTTTTTGAGGCAAACCTGCAGCAATAACGATGCATCCTTCAGGAGCATCTCGTGCTGAGCTTTTTGCTCAATTCCAACCCCATCCCTTCCAGGCAGATCCCACTACAAACAGCCCAGCCCAGGTTCCGCGGGGGAAACCCACATTCTCCCAAGCCCATTGAAATAGTTGCCATCAAAGCTTTGCTTGGGCAAAGAGTTGGATGCAAACTTGGGTAGAAAGCAAATGCTTTCAGCACAGCGCTCCTTGCTTTGAGTCGCCTGATCACAACTGAGAAGTGCTGGCCCCAAACTGAAAACTCTGGCTGCTGAGAGCCAAGAAGGCTTTGGCGGTGAGCGCGGCTTCCCAGTGAGCCACTGCGATTTCCTGCGTGAAAGAATAGCTCCAGCAAACCTCCTGAACTTAATTAAATGTGGTCTTGGAGTAAGAACCCCATTTCTTTGAGCCAGCCATGGGAAAAAAACCACCCTGGGGTTTTGAAGTGGTTTGCATCCCTGATTTTAGGTGCAAATGTGCACGTCTTTTTTTTCCATATGGCGAATCCCTCCTGGGCCGTGGCTCAAACTAAGCTGAACTCCAGCAGAGTTGGCCCAGGCTCCCACTGCCGGCTGTTCTGACAGCTTCTGCAGAAGTGAAGGGGGAAAGGAAGGGTCCTGGAGGAGACCTTCCTGTGGGGCAAAGGCAGCGAGATGTGGGAAGCCAAACAGCAAAACCCCATTGAGAAACTGTGCCCTGCAGAGCCCTTCCACGCCGGCCTGTCTCCACAGAGGGCTTCAGCTGTGCTTCACAGAGCCTCTTCCAAAGGGGAATTCAGTTTCCTGCTGGGGCTCTGGCTCTTGGGATGAATTTCTGCTGATGCTGGAGGAGGGGAGCTTGGAAATGGTGGCTGCGTGTGAGCTGAGGCTTCCTCTGATGTCACGGATGTGAAACACAGCCTTCAGTGCAACCCTCCCCGAGCGCCCTGGGGTCTGCTCAGGGCTCAGCCGCTGTCCCCAGGGCTCTCCTTGCCTTCCCTGAGCAGCAGATTCCAGGCCTTTTATAGGCAGCACCTGTTAGTTTCCGCCCCTAGCAGCCCTGCTGCAGGTGAAATTCCAGCAGGATTATTTTGGGGTTCCCTTGCCCATTGGCCTGCTCCTTCAGTGAGTGGCTGTGGGGCTTCGGATGCCGGTGACCAGCTGCACGTCGTTTCTGGAGCACGCAGCCATCCCGGAGCTCCTCACCCAGCTCCTTCAGAGGAAAAAAATCTATTTTTACCAGGAAGCATCCAAGCAGCCTCTCCTGAATTAAACCCCAGCCTCTTGCAATCTGTTCAATATCAAATACTTCAAAAGGTGGAATATAGAAAAAAATGTGTCACCGACGTGGAAAACTTGCAGTGCAGCAAGAGCTGGGATTATTTTGCTCCCAAATTAAACTGAATAACGGGAAGGAGGCAGGCTCTGCTAGATCGTGCTCCTGCCTCTGCTCTGGGCTGGAAGTGCTCTGGGTCTGCACTGCAAGGGTGCTCCCACCTACGTGGGAACTGTCAGGTGATGCTTTTCAGGGCTCTAAAACCCTTGGCTAATTCTGGAGTGTAGGATAGAACAGATTACAGGGTCAGAGCACCTAAATTCCCCATGATCTTGGGGGCAAGAGGATCGTGTTCCAGTTCCTGGTGGATTGAAATCCAAGTCTAAGGAAAAAAGTGTCATCAGGCAGCAGGGGAGAAGCAGGGAAACAGTGAGAAATTGTGGTGTCCCATGTTTTTGTGGCCTGCAGCCTCCCAACATCCCACTCCTGGTGCTCGAGCACATCGTGAGCTGCTGGGAGGGAGCTTGGCTGGCTCTCACTCCCACTGGGTGAGCACCTCAAAAGGGGAAGGAAAGGCATGAGCTGCGTGTGAGGAGAAGCTGTGTTCAGGGAGAAAGAGGAAAGAAGCTTTGGTGGAAACTTTGCATTTTCTGACTAGTGTATTCTGGGTTTTCTGCCAACTTCCCCTTTGTGTTTTCCCGTTTGGGGTGGAGGGGTGGGGGCATTGCTCTGCGCTGCTGCAGGGGATTGGGGTCATTCTGAGCAGGAAGGGGTCAGGTTGGTCCTGGTGTGGGGTGATGGATGCAGCAGGAAGTGGAGAAGCCGGGTCTGGCTGGGAGTCCCTTTTCTGAGCCAGGAGGGACGAGCTGGTCCTTGTTGGGGTGTTCCTGCAGTGGATGGTGGCTGGAGCTTGTGTGTCAGAGATCAGAAATCCCTGAACAGGGTGATCTGAGCAGAGCTGGGTGAGGGTCTCTGAGGTAACAGAGCAGAACACGTGGAAAAATACCCCAAAGCCCCATTTCAGTCCTATCCGAGGGGCTGCCTGGAGCCTCACGGTGTCAGGAGCAGTGAAGCCTCTGGGCAGGCGGCGCTGCCGGCAGCGTGAAGCCCTTTTCCCCTCGATCCTCTGGGAGCAGTACGGTCAGGAAAGCAGGAAAGCACCTTGCATCCTATGCCTGGAAGACGGCGTGCTCTGTGCCTGCTAATCCCTGGGCAGGGGAGGCAGGCACGCTGCTGCCCCGGTGAGGAGGGAATGAGAGCTGTGGAATGCATACACACCATCCACTTTCAGCTGCAAATCTGGACCCTGGGAGAGATCCCTGCTGCTTGCAGGGATAAATCCCTGCGGTTCCAGCAAGGCAGGACCCTTGTGCCAAGGTAGTGGGGAGCCCTTGCTGCACACCAGGCATGGCAGCCAGCCACAGGCAGGGCACCCAGCCACGCTCAGCTCCCAGTGCTTCTGTGGATGCTTCACTGCAACCAAGAAATGAACTTTGGGGTTGAACAGTGCCCACCCTGACGCTCTTTGGTGTTGGGGTCAGCTCTGGGGCCCCAAAGCAGGCACTTCTCTCCCTCTGCACACCACGTGCCTGATGGGGAGATGGGCAGATGGAGAGAGGGAGGATGAGGAGGAGGTGCTGGGCTCGCTCAGGTTGGGCTGTGTGGGGCGGTGCAGGCAGTTCTACCCAGTGCAGGGGACCCTCATGGGGGTAACCACTCCACAGAAGTTGCTTTTGCAGAGGGGAGCAGTGAGTAACTCGCTCATCATAGGGCACAGAGTGTGTGGTGGGGGTGGCCCTGGCTTCCTGCTCCTGTGGCCACACATGGGACGTGTCCCTGGCTGTGCTGAGTGCTGCCCGCTAGTGAGCTTTGTTTGCCCACTTTGGTGGAGCCAGTAGTTGGTGTTGTGGCCCCCTGGGTACATGGAAGGGCTGGGGGTCTGTGTGGTTGCTGGCTGGGGGTGCCAGCCTGGTCCCTGCCTGCGTCACATCCACGTGCAGTGGGTTGGCGAGAGATGATGAGATGGTGCCTCTGCGCTTGTGAACTTCCTCTGCGTGTTTCTCAATCATTTCTTGCAAAAGGTCTCTGGGCAGCAGGAGATGGAGAAGTTCAGGAGATGCCACAGAAGCAGATCTAGTGGTGCTTGCCCTGTGTCAGTGCTGCGTTCAGCACACGGAGTGCACGAGGCCTGTGCCCCAGGGCTGCTCCCCACAATTTGGGTGTCACCTGAGAAGCACGGGGTTGCCTTGCAGGTGCCCAGGGCACCACTGCTCAGGTGCAGGACCAAGGCTCAGAGGGAATGACTCATCTGGACGTGACACAAACCAGCTCTGTCCCTCTGTGCTTGTTTGTGGGAAAAACTTGTTCTGATGTTGAATGCCGCTGCCGCGTTAACCCTGACGTGGCTTCAAAGGGAAACACCAAGGCCTGAAGGTTTTGGCTGAGGATGCTGTGGACTGATGCCCTGGGCAAAAAGCCTTTAACTGGGGCAGTCTGGAGAAAGTGCTCCTGGTAATTCTGGCCATAGAAATTGAGTAATTCCACAGACAGTGGAACAGTGAGAACATCTGTGGGTACAGCACATACCACTGTGAGTCAGGAGGGATTAACAGCTGCCAAAAATCAGCTCTGGTCTCTGTGACAGCCAGCTGTGGCCAGAGGGGTCAGAGCAGCTTGTCCTGCAGCAGGTCCTCCTGGGAGCATCCAGCCAGAGATTATCCTGCTGTGTCCCAAGGGAAGCCTTGGCACAAGTTGCTGTCCTGGATTTCCCTTGCTGCCAAAAATCAGCTCTGGTCTCTGTGACAGCCAGCTGTGGCCAGAGGGGTCAGAGCAGCTTGTCCTGCAGCAGGTCCTCCTGGGAGCATCCAGCCAGAGATTATCCTGCTGGGTCCCAAGGGAAGCCTTGGCATGAGTTGCTGTCCTGGATTTCCCTGAAAGGAGGCTGTAGCCAGGTGGAGGTCATTCTCCTCTCCCAAATAACAAGCAACAGGACAGGAGACTTCAAGTTGTATAGGGGAGGTTTAGGCTTAGGTTGGATATTTGGGAAAAGTTCTTCACTGAAAGGGTAAGAGAGCTGTCCAGGGCAGTGGTGGGGTCACCATCCCTGAAGGGATTTAAAAGATGTGTGGATGTGGCACTTGGGGTCGTGGTTTGGTCAGTGGCCTGGCAGTGCTGGCTTAATAGCTGGACTCAGCAATCCTAGTGGAATTGCTGGACCAGGCCCTGTGAAGTGGCTGAAGGGCTGGGGCACTGGGAACGAGACTGTCTATGACCAGAACAACAAGGATCCCTCGTCCCGTGTGACGAGAGCAGTGGA